GTGGAGGATCTCTGTTGAGTCACTTGACTCGCTTTTTTCTTCTTTCTTTCTTTCTTGCTTTCTTCCTGAACTCATGGGGGAGGTAGGAGCTTCACGAATCGTGAATAGACCTATCCAGGCTTGGCAATCTGGCCAGCCTAATACTCATCTCGCCCATAGAACCAGTGCTCGTGGTTCTTAATCTATGTGGAATCAGGTATCATACCTTCAGTGTGCACACCCCCTAACTAGGATTGCAAGCCTAGCGGGTAGTATCGAACCTAGCAACTCGGGATTATTCTACCAAGTTACTTCTAGAATAAATTGTCGGTCATCTGTGACCGTTTCTTTCTTTTCTCAAAACTTCTTACTTTCTCTTTTCTTCCGGAAATACATAGTCCTAACGGGAACCTCTAAAACATAGATTTTCCTCACTTTATCGAGCATTATATTCTTTCAGCTTAGATTGAGTGCTATTAATATTTTTGAAGTCCTTCATCATTTTAAAGACTGAATCCGTAGGATCTTCATCGCAACTAGCTAGAATCATATTCACATTGGGTAGAAGAGGATTGAGAGTTTACCTCTTTATCCTTAGCCATTAAGCACAGTTCTTTGTCTGATTCCTGTTGACTGAATAAGCAGTTGAGTCCCTTCACATCTCCTAAGCTTTCTCTTTCTGAACATGAACTAGAGAAACATGATTCGTTAGTCACCTTCTCGGTTGACTACTTGGTTATGAGCGCTTTCCTCCTTCTGTCACCTTTCAAATGACTATTCGAGTAGTTGTGTGAGCTTTTACCACTTGTCTCTCTAAGAGCACTTCTAGAGTTGTTGTTGTCGGTACTTCTCGGTTAGTCTTGATGTTTTCTCACAACCGGATAAGGGCTTTTTTGCTTTGTAATGTCTCGGCATCTTGCAGTTGTAGCAAAGTGTTTGCAACTCCTTGATTTCCTTACTCTTCGAGGAACTTGACCTCTCAGAGTGTCTCCAATTTGAGAAAGATGGCGTAGATGATGTTCCTTGAATATTGTTATTCCTAGTGAAGCGTTTGAACTTCTTGACAAACATAGAATTTGACCTGGATGATGTGGATGGTTGTTGATCAGCAACCAATGCTACTGTCCTTGGTTCCGCTTCATCTTCCTTGGGTTCCCTCTCGAACTCATAGACCTTTAAATCATTGAAGATTTGAGAAGTTTGGATTGCCTTGAAATCGCGATGGTTACGCATGGCTATGAACTTCATCTCCCATGACTTGGGTAGTGCTTGGAGGATTTTGAGGCTGATATATTTCTAGGATAACTCATTACCTAGATCCGCAACCTCACTGAGAAGTTTCATGAACCGAGTCTCCATCTCGGTTATGCTTTCACCATTAACCATTCAGAAGTCCTCAAACTTCTTCATAACTATGGTGAGCTTGTTCTCGTTTTCCTGTTCATCTCCATCTCTAATCTACACGAGAATGTTCCAAATCTCCTTGACAGATTTGCATTTCCTTACTCTTGGAAATAACGTCTTGTCGACCGTCTTAAAGAGAATATCCTTCGCAATGTTGTCCAAGTTGCTCCTTGTACGGTCTTCTTACGTCGATGCATGTTTCGGCTTCGGCACATACTCGGGTGATTCCAATCCTTAGGCTGTTGTGTGAGCATTTACCGTCATAAATTCCGTCACGCCCTCTCACATTTCATCGTGAAGTACCAAGAGGTGCGCCTGCATACGCACCTTCCAATCATCAAATTTATTTAAGTTGAATAGAAGATTTTTGGAAATATAATGATCCATATTATTAGGAAATAATACGTGGAAGAGAAAATAGGTTTAATTTTCAAAGGAGATCACTAGATAGTATACACAGAGTGTTTACCGTTCAAGGTAATTGCTCTGATACCACTTGTTGGTCCCGGTGAGGGTTAGGGTACAAGTCTAGAGGGGGTGAATAGACTTGTATAGATTTTGAAAACTTTTATGAATCGTTAAAGTACTCGAGAGGAAACTTTAACGTCTTGAGAGTATGCACACCAGAAAATTAATTAACCCTTTTTAAAGTTGGTTTGCCCCAATAATTTTAGTGTTATACAATTTTAGGTTTAGTTATATATGGATATATGCAATGAAGGCAGGAAATAATTAAAGATAGAGAAAAAGAGAGTTTTATATTGGTTCGGTTAAACCCAACCTACTCCACTCTTATCCTTCAGCACTTAGGAGAATTGCACTAAACACTTAGTACAAAAAATTGGACGTTTACGCTTTGAACACAAAGCCAGCCGTGAACTCCACCAGATTTTTCAACTCCTCAATAAGTTTATTCCGCCTCTTTCTACTTCTACCACGTAGAGAATATAGTTGGAAGAAAATAATTTCTTCTTTCTTCCATAAAGAGAGCTTGGCTTGATGATCTTGATCGTCTCTTGTGAAAGCAGCTCAAGTCTCTTGTAATTTGGATATTGTCGTTGTAGCTTGTCTCTCTTTCTCAATCATTGGTCGCTAGATAAGAACACTTGAAAGCTTTTAGCATTTGGTAATTTCAAAGTGACCAGCACATTCTTCAGTTGTGGAAGAGGGTATTTATAAACGAGTGAAAAAGGTTCGTGGGACGGAAAACCAATTTCAAATGACTATGGACCAGCTTGTAGAGACCGGCGGGTAATCTGGAGAGTAGGTGAGCGTGTTAGATTTTCCATAAGTTAAAGACTTAATTGCACTGAACATATCTTTTTGTTCTGCACAAAATGTCAAGGTTTTTAAGGAAATATCTTTCTTGGGATGTGCTCCTAGAACTCACTTTGCCTTGGACACATTCACTCATTATTTAAAGTTTCAAACTGTTTAGCTCAAAGAATATCCCGAGTAGTCCTTTCGAATGGTTAACTAGGTTTGCGAATGACAGTCTTCTATTTTTAAGGCTAATCTGCCGGAAGCAACAGAGATTAAGAAATGCCTTCAAGAGTACGAGAAATTTTCTGGGTAGGCACTCAATTTCCATAAATCAAGAAATTTTCTGGGTAGGCAGCTCAGAGTCTTATCAGGAGTGGATGTAGGCGCATTACATGAATACATGCATTTGAAATACCCCTGGCTCCTTGCACATGACAACCCATTAATTCAAACTAGCCCTGAACCGCAAGTTATTGTGAATAAAGTGGCATACCTTTTGAACCAAGACATAGGGGAATGGAACACAGAACTGGTGCCTCAACTCTTCGTTGATAGAGACATGGACTTTATCATGCAAACTCCTATAAATTCAAATATGGAGGATTCATGGTATTGGTTTGGGGATATTAGAGGCAACTATACGGTTAAAGATGGTTACAAAGGCTCCTAAACTCCCCATTATCAAGCTCACCACTATGGAATAAACTTTGGAAAATTCAAGGAAAAACCTCCCCCAAATGGAAAAACCTTATTTGTAGATCCTTTAGGGGAATCTTCCCTACAATTATTACTTTAAGACAAAGAAGAGTTGATCTACCAGTGAATTGCCCTGTATGTGGAGAAGGGGAGGAAACTACCACACATATATGGCGTGATTGCCCTCTTGCTCAACAACTGTGGGCACTACCTTCTCTTGCGATGCCAGAGGTGGAAGGTGAGGATCTTGTGCCACGGATTGAACGACTATTGATAGATGAAGATAATACCATGACAGCTAGGAAAGCATGAGTTCTTCACGCTTTATGGCTGGCCAGAAATCATTTAGAGTGTGTTTGGTTCGCACATAGGAATCGGAATCGGAATGAGTATCAAATACTTGGTAATGGTAATGGATTTTTATGAAAATATTTGACATGTTTGGTAGTAGGGTGGAATGAGAATGGATACTAATAGTAGTACTTGAGAATGAATAAAGGAATGAAACCCTTATTTTATTTGGGTATGAGTTTTTCAATTGATGGGTATTCGAAACCCACAGTAAAATTTTAAAAACCTATAAACCAAACAACAACAATCACTTTCATACTCATTCTTATGGGCAAAACTCACCAACCAAACACACCCTTAGTGTGGGATGGCTATGTTCCAATGCCAGCAGTGGTCTAGAAAACGTGTCGCTTCATGTGGCTAGCATGGACTTCTCATGCGCTCCAATGCAACACTTCTGTCCGTTATCCAATCGAAGGCCAGCAAGATTATCAGCTTCGCAACGATATCCAATGGCTGTGCAAGGTGGACGCAGGCATCTCGCCAAGAGGAGAATATAGCTACATACGACTTTATTGTGAGGTCTACCCAAGGTGTCTTCAAAGTGGCAAAATATGGTCCGTTCGATGCATTCTAGATCCTTTAATTGCGAAAGCAATGGCAGTTCGAGATGCACTCACATGGACTAAAGAGCATAATTTAGCACATGTTAGAGTGGTAACCGATTTTCTTAGTCTTTGTTCTAATATGTCGAGTTCCAGCATTGATCGTTCATACGTGGGTTCCATAATCCAAGATTGTCTATCTCTTGTTGTTTTAATTGTTGACTGCGAGATCCATTATACTAGTCGAAATAGTAACTGTGATGCTCACGCCCTTGCCAACGAGAATGGGGCTCAGTTTTTTCACTCATAGTGGACTGATGTTGTTCCAGAATTTTTGACGGTTTTAAGTTAATTCATTCATCTGGTTTTTGCTTCAAAAAAATAAAAAGAAAAAATTAGAAAAACAAACCTATTAAATTGCCCATTATGGAGTGGAAAATTTGTGAGTGGTATATGAGTATATGTAGAAGTAAATAGGATTTTACTAAAATCAAAAGACTGTATAAAACGAGAGGCCGGGATATTTGGGGCCCATTTACTAATAGGAGAGAATTTGAAAATAGAAAATATAAAACATATTTACTTACACAATTTTCTATTTTGAAAATTAAAAATATTTTTTAATTTTCTAAAAATTTGGAGAACTTTTAAAAATTATTTTCTAAATGAAGAAGATATTGAAGTCTTGAATACCAACTTAACAAGTTATTTTACACCGGCATGCTAAAAGCATTAATTGCATTATTCTTTAAATTTAGATGTTAATTTAGAACTTTTAATTTTCAAGTTAAGTTTGAGAATACATTAACAAAATGTTCTCGAATAATTCGAGCCTCATTTGGCCAATTCTCAATTATATATATATCGATCATACCATGCTTGGTATTTTAATTTAACCTAAGCTAAGGCTTGTTTTTCATGAACATTTTGGCAGTCAAACCACAAGAGAGAGCCTTTGTAGGAATATTGTTGACAAGGTGAACTCCTTCAGCAAAAACCACTCCCATGCCCATATGCAAGTGCGGTTCAATGTGGCAATGGAATGCCCAAACCCCAGGGTTATCAGCCACAAACCTCAACGCAGTCCATCCATAAGGGAAAACCACGGCGGTGTTCCTCAGCGGCGGATTCTCCAGGTTGAACTTTCCGGCGTCTTCCTCCCTGAACCTCCCTTCTCCGTAGCCCAGCACCCAGAAATCGTGGCCGTGGAGGTGCCACGGGTGGATCTCGCTCACGTTGGCCGCCAGCGCGTTGGCGTTCTGCAGAATGACGTCCACGGTGGAGTTGAACCGGAACGTGTAAACCCCGTTGCCGGCGGTGGTGTTGGGGTTCAACGCCGCCCGCATCACGTCGTACGTCTCGGAGAACTTCTCCGGCGGCGGCCGGCGATCAAACGCGTTTCTCACCCCCAGTTTGATCGACCCTAAGTACGGGGTGGGCGGCAGGGCCAGCGAGACGTTGTTGATCGCCCATTTGGTGTACCCGTCGATGAGATTCTGGGTGTTGAGGAGGTGCAGCCGGCGGTCGTGTCCCCGCGGCGGCCGGGTGGCGCCGCCGCCGCCCAGGGCGAGGATTCTGGCGGAGAATGCCTTGCTGTGGTTGTAGTCATTCCACGGTGGTGAAACCGGAGGCGGTGAAGTTGGGAGCTTTGAAGCTGAGTTGGGAAGGTAGTTGAGTATGGTTAGGCCTTGGGGAGTTTTAGGTTGTCTTCCTCGTACGCTAACTGAAATCCAGTAATTGTTTGATGGATTTTGGTCGGTAGTAAACAGCACTGAATAGCTCTCACCGGAATATATGTCCATATCACTCACTGAAAATGGCTCAACGTAATTTCCATCTGCTTCAACTACCACCATCTTGTGGCCCTGTACAAGTACAATCAACGTAACCAATCAAACCCCAATTTCAATTACAACTTTATGTGACCGATTATTAGATTAACTTTAATACCAAATTGAAATATATATTCCATTCCAACTAAAATGTTTAAACTTATAGTTGAATTACACATTTTTGTTTAAATATTATATGCTTCACCGGGCGGGCCTAGGACATGTATTTTCAATAGTTATGCTATGGAACCGTGTTCACCATGTGCATGGTGAACACGGGATAATCCATAATTTCTAAGCTATAGATTCATAATTTCTATACTGTAGATTGATAACATCTATACTATAGACTCATAATTTCTAGATTCATAATTTCTATACTGTAGATTCATAATTTCTAGATTCATAATTTCTATACTATAGATTCATAATTTTATACTGTAGATTAATAATTTCTGTACTGTAGATTCATAATATCTGTACTGCGAAGACGAAATAATGCGATTGTGAAGAGAGAAACATCGTTAACAACAAATGAAAAATAAAATTATAAATCTACAGCATAGAAATTATGAACCTACCCCTTTATTCACCATGCGCATGGTGAACACGTTTCCAATGCATAATTTGCCATGTATTTTAGTTTATTGGAAATTAAAAAGAAAAAAAAATGGGGGATGGGAGGAAGGTAATATAACACGCAAAGATATGGATACTTAATTGGTGGGGATGGAGAATCATTGGAGCATTCAAGTTCCCCCAAATATTATGCAGACAAATGGATTAATATTAGTCCATTGTGCTAAGTGGTTGGCACTATAATGGCACTAATAATTATATTGTCTTTTTTTATGGTGAGTGGTGACCAATTGATTTCCATCACTACAACTTCTCATTCAATATGATGAAACCCCATTCCCCATGTTTTTTATCATATGCACTAACTACTTTGTTAATAATTGTTTAAAACCTATCATCCATCTATAGCTCCACTTAACTGTTTTAAAAAGGAAAAATATTTGAAAAAGTATAAAATAAATACTAATTTGTAAAGAATCATGAGTATTTCAAATTTTTTTTTTTTTTAAAAAATAGAAAATAAGACAAATTCTTTGTGGTTGATTGTTTAATTAATAGCTAATCAAGACGTTTTATCTTAATAAGATTTACCCTACAACTTAAAAGATATATATAGTTAGAGTTAATACCCAAAATCGTCCTCGACTATAGTGGTTTTTCTCAATTTCGTCCTAAACGACTTTGGTGACCTAATATCGTCCCAGACTTTTGTGTTTCACTCAATTTAGTCCCAGACTTTTGTGTTTTTGCTCAATTTAGTCCCTCATTTGTTATTCTGTCCATTTGGTGTTAAATAAATAGACAATTCAGTAATTTTAATATTGGCATCTCTTTACTCATAGACATGTGAACTGCGAAATCTCTTTTTTTTTTTTTTTTTTTTTTACGAATTACTCCCGGAATTACTCTTAAAACTGCGAATATAAAATTTGATTTGCAGGTCCGGGAGTAATTCTGGGTGTAATTCGTACAAGAAAGAGGAATTTCACACTTCACAAGTTGAAAGTAAAGAGAGATCAATATTGACATTACTGAATTGTCCCTTTATTTAACACCAATTTGACGGAATAACAAATGGAGGACTAAATTGAGCGAAACACAAAAGTCTGGGACGATATTAGGTCACCAAAGTCGTTTAGGACGAAATTGAGAAAAACCACTATAGTCGAGGACGATTTTGGGTATTAACTCTATATAGTTAGGGATGGTAATTTCACTTTGGACCTGCCAGGATGGAAACCGGGATCAAAGTTCAAGAAACGGCAATGGAGGCTGAGGATAGGAGTACTCCTACACGCCTTACCCGGTCTCCATCCATAGTACACACACACACATATATATATATATATATATATATATATATATATATTTGATGAAATTATATATAAAAAAAAAAATTAAAAGACCTTGAATTTGGTAGTTTAAAATAAGGATTCAATATTTATATATATATTTTTTTGAAGGAAATTAAGGATTTTTTTTTTTTGAAAACAAGAAGGAAAGGATTTAATATTTATATCTTTTTACTTCAATATTAAAAAAATATATATTAAATTAATAATTTGACTATAAAGTTGACTATGGTGGAATGTCCCTGAAAATTCCCCACAGAGACGGAATGAAAAAAAAAAAAAAAAAAAAAAAATTCTCAATTGAGAGCAAGGCAAGATCACAGGAATAGAAATATGGAGTATATTTCTTGTTTCCACACCGCCTTGTTACCATTCCTACGTATAATTACAAAAAGTAAGGAACGTAATGTCTATATATAGGGAGAGATCCAAAAAGAAAAGAAATATAATAGCTATATAGGGAGAGATACAGAAGGAGAAGAAATGATTTGTTACCCCAATGGCCAAGTTGAGAGAAGCCAAGGATGTGGTACTGGCAAGGCGCAGCCTATAAGTTTTGTTGGGGCGCACTTTTAGAATTTGAGGGGCATACTGTTCACCCCCTCTTAAACTGCACGGAGTGGATGGTGATGTGCTAAATGACGCTGCTAGGGAACAGTTGTATTGACCTCTTCCATTCATTAACAAGCTCTGCAATTGCATGTGTATGCCATAAAATGCATTTCTTACTTAAAAGACATGATCCGAGTAATATATAGCAATAAAAATAAAGGAAGAAAAAATGAGACAAAAAATTTGCATTGCAGTAAATTAAAGTTTATATAGTACATAAAATATTCAATTTTAATTTTAAAATGAATAATATTGTATTCCTTTGGCAGCTAATGCTACATTATATTGAATCATACTTTATAATGTAAATAAGGAGGCACAAATAGGTGGGTATCTTGTCAACTTCATCAAGATAAGTTAACTATATATATATATATTTTTTTGATAAACTGATTAAAATAATTACTCACACTAATTAAAATATAACTTTTCAATAAAGGTCTTTCTAATAAAGGTCAAAAAAAGGCCGGCAAAGCAGACTCAAACCTAGACTATCGTGAGTTTAGATTCAAGTTCAAAATTTATATATATGACTAGTCACAAGTTAAAAAAAAATTTAAATTTAAACCAGACTTGATTCCTTAACGAGTCAACTTGAAGTTGATTCGAATTAAAATTTGACCGATCTGATCAAATAAATTGACAATAGTTCATGGTAGTTTAACTCGTTTGTACCCTAGTATAGAATTTCAAAGAATCATAACTGATCGAATTGTCCTATATAAGAACAACCCCAATAAGGGTTTGTGCACAAATTTTAAGAAAAAAATGGTAAGGTGGAGGAGAGAAGAGAGAGGAGAGAGTGTCCATGCAAGAATAGAAATTTTGTCATAAATGTGAGTCCCCTTTCTTTTTTATTTACGCAGAAACTGCGCGTTATGCAAAATATGCACACGCCCAGCGGGCGCGTTAAGCCTTTTTTTTTAATTTAATTTAATTTTTTTCTGTCTTTTTTCTTTTTCTATTCTCTCTCATTTTCTTTTTCCTAATCACACATGTAAAACCTCCTCAAAATCCTCACACTATTGAGGATGCCGTAAAACCAGTCTCAGTCCTTCAAGGTCCACGTCTATGGTCCATCTCGATCCAAGTGGGCGAAACGACAATTTTCGCCACGTAATTCACTTTTATACGATCAAAGATATAAATTTTAGCATGTAAAAATAATTACCTGGGGTTCACCAACCCAACGAAATGGCTTAGAATTGAGATCAACTTCCTGCTCGTGAGAGCTCACGTGCCACCAATCACTCAGCAACAAATTAAACTCTTCGTCATATTGGAATGCTTCTTTCTCTCCATTCGCCACCTCAACTATCAACGACCCGTACAGCCCCGCCGACCGTTGCATCCCGTAGTGTGCATGGTAGAAATATGTCCCTGCCTGCACCGTATAAATTTACTCACTTATATACACGGACATGCCTTCTCATACGACTATGCAAATTGCACCATTAGATATACATAAATGCATCACAACGTGTTTAAAAATGTAGTAAAATCCACACTACAAAATAGGACATTCGATCATCCACCGTTATGTATGCATAAATGTATCACAACGTGTTCAGAAATGTATCAAGTGAAATGCATTTCTGAACATGTTGTGATGTATTATTGCGATGCATATCTAATGTGATATATATATATATATATATATATATATATATATATATATATATATATATATATATATGTATGTATTTGAGACTATTTTATTATTTTTATGATTCAAACCCAGCAAATTTGAATCAGGCGTGCGGCACGAATTATTCGATGTATCACATAGTACCATGTTCCCCGTCGCAGCTTTTGATACAGTATTAAATACGGAGTATTATTTTAAATAAATTTGGTGCCGCACTGCCACCATGAGAAATTGAAAATAGGTGGACAATTTTAAAAGAAATTACTATTTTTTTATTCTTCTATGCAATGTTGTAAAAATTATGTCTAAACTTTAATTAGGCACAAGGCAGCGGCCGATTATTTAAAAAATCACCGAAATCGGTAATTTATGTAGTTGGTCGCCTAGGTACCCTAGACGGCTTAGGCGATTAGGTCGTGGCAGACTAGGCGGTTGTCTAGGTAGCCTAGAAAGCTGACGATTAGTTATTGTTTTATTTTTTTTAAAATGAGTTATTTTGCTCAAAACGACGTCATGTTTAACAAAATATTCCTAAATCATTCAAATCAGTCGCAAACTCATAAAATGTATATATATAAAAAAAATCAAAATCAAATACTCTATTATTATTGATACTTTAATTTGTGAGTTGTGACTTTGTGGAATTGTGTTTTGATTCTTTAAATATTTAATTCTTTATACAAGTTACAATTCTAGTTGGTTTTTTAGGTTAATATTTAATATTTTAGTATTAACTATTAAAGTAGTAAATAATTTATAATTATCAAATATTTTTATAAAATTTTTAAAAAAATTAAAAATTATTTTTTAAAAATCGATGCCTAGGCGCTAGGAGCTTGAAGATCGAACACCTAGCGATTTTTGCAAACTTGACCATATGATATAATTAAAAATAGTAAAAATGTAATCTTTATTAATTCTTAAAAAATTTATATTTTTATTAAAAGTATTGCATATATGGCATGTAGTGACTCTCCCATATAGGAGGTCATGAGATCGAGCATCAGTGAATGCGGTGTTGACTCTTTATGCTTCAACAGATTGAGAAAGTATAGATGAACAGATACTATAATGTAATAGAGTCAGTAGCTTTTAGAAATAAAGTATTGCCCATTTAGCTATATCAATAAATATAACTATTAAAGAATAGCAGTGCATCAAATGTTATTTTATTTACAGATACACTTTCATTAAATAATACTTTATCCGTTTTATTTTATATGTTTAATTCAGTTAATGCAACTTAACTGGTGTTATTACAATTTGATTTTTCATAGTACTAAGTTCACAATTAAAACATAAAATTTATATATTTAAAAACTATATTAAAAATACTATTAAACACCAAAAAATTAAATTTAAAAATAATAAAAAAATATTATAAAAAAATTAACGAATGAATAATTTATTTGACTAATGAATAATAAATATAACAAAGGAGGTATATATCTATATACGTTAAAACAAGAAACATGCCAGCAAGTAAAACAATGGCAAATTATGCCCTGGACCCGTGTCCACAGTGAATTGTGGACACGGGCCCAAAACGACGTCGTTTTTCAAAAAAAAAAAAAAAAAAAAAAAAAAAAAAAACGCATCATTTAGTTTAAAAAAAAAAAAAAAATCGCGCGCGTTTTGCCGTTAACGGCGTTATTTATTTTTTGGATTATGAATGTACAGTTATGCCGTTATGAATGTATAGTTATGCCGTTATGAATGTACAGTTATGCAATTATGAAATTATGAACACAGAGCTCTAACATTATGAACTTACAATTATGAACATATATAGCGATAAAATTATGACCATGGAGCTTTAAAATTGTGAATATAGAGCTTCGAAGATTATGAATGTACAGTTATGAGATTATGAATCTACAGTTATGGAATTATGAATGTACAGTTATTGATCGAATTATGAACAAAGAGCTCTAACATTATGAACTTACAATTATAAACATATAGTGATAAAATTATGAACATAGAGCTCTAAAATTGTGAACATAGAGCTTCGAAAATTATGAATGTACAGTTATGGAGTTATGAATGTACAGTTATGGAGTTATGAATGTACATTTATAGAGTTATGAACGTACAGTTATGGAGTTATGAATGTACAATTATTAATAATATAGTAATAAAATTATGAACATATACTTCTATAACGAAGCGGTCTGAAATTAAAAAAAAAAAAAAAAAAAAGGAGATAACAGTGCCTAACGGCACTGTTACCCGTGTCCAGCAAGCATGCTGGACACGGGTCCAACGCATAACGATTGTAAAACAATTTATTATTATTATGAGTATGATTATTATTATATTATTATTATTGGTCCCTGTCCAACATTAAAGAATTAGTTGAGGGGTCGTTGAAAAAATTTCATGTAATTTCATTTTAAATAGGACAATTTCTCGATACAGTCAAATGTTTGGACACCAACTCCCTGAATACTAGTGTCAGTTGTCCATATAAAGTACTCCGTATAAATTAAATTAAGAAAAAATCTGTACTAAAAAAATAAAAAGAAGAAAAAAAATCATATTTTAGGTAAAAATTTTGTTCCTTTTAGATGTACAAATTAAATATATTGTGTATACGTAATTTCGATTAAAATTTTCAGATTTTAATAATTTCTTCTTAATAATAAAAATGTTAAGAAAAAAAATCTGACATTAAAGGTATAATTTTTTTTTTCCTTTTAGATGTACGAATTAAATATATTGAACGTACTTAATTTCGATTAAAATTTTAAAAATTTATTAGTTTCTTCTTAATAATAAAAAATTAAATGAAAAGTAATATTAATTCACCTTGTCAACTTTGAATCTGTAGACAAATGTGTCTCCAGGAATAATGGGACATTGTGAAATCAATGCAGTCCCATCAGCCCATGGTGTTCCTATCTGAAAAAAAAAAGGAGAGTTTTATCAATTTAGGAAATATAATCACAAAAATACTAATTTAGGAAATATAATCACAAACATAACTAAAATATTTATTTCATGCATGTATATAATGTATCTATTAAGGACATTATCACATGCAATATTTCACTGATCAGTACTTCTTTCTGTTTCTTTTTTTACAATTTATTTTTCTTAATTTTCTCTCTTTATTTTTGGTGTGTTGGAAAAGGAAAAAAAGGGACTATATAAAAAGTATTAATTGATTTTAATTTTACCTTAGTTGATTGATTTAGAGAAAAAAAGTGAGCCACAATTTTAATTCATTTTATTTTTTTTTTCCTCTAATAAACATAGACTTTAAGGGTGCCGTTAGTTTTTTTTATTATGAGAAAGGGGATGCCTAATATACAGGCTACTTGCTTCAATTGAGATTTGAACCTATAACCTACCCACTTAGGAGAGTAATCAGGTAAATGGACCACAAGCCACTTGGTAGGATGTCGCTAGTTACAATGCTTTCTAGCTATTTAATAATTTTATAACACCAAAATTTGTGTAAGAACGTTTCATGTCACCACCTAAAATTGATCTTAAATCAAGTCAACAGCCTTGTTCCGATCACTTTTGGTATTCGAAAAAACTGTTGTTGCTATTTCCGACCACTTTGTACTTTCGACTTGATTTAAAATCACTTTCATGTGCTCGAAAATTCCATAATAATTTGTGAAAAGACTTATATATATATATATATATATATATATATATATATATATATATATATATATATATATATATATATATATATATATATATATATATATATATATATATATATATAATATTTTAAAGAAAAAAAATAATATATTTTTTTATGAACTAACATGTATTATATTTGTACGATCCATCCTAAAACAAGTTTTACGTTTTTACTAAAAAAATATATTATATATTTAAAATTCATTTTATGTAGAGACTGTTGTTTCTAGAGTTTGTTTTATTAGAAATATGAAAAGAAGAAGAAAATGAACAGAGAACCAAACCTGTCGGATTCCATGCCAGTGAATGACAACTCCTTCAGTGCTGAGCTTATTGGTGAGCTCAACGGCTATGGTGTCGCCGGCGCGAGCCCTGATCGTCGGACCGGGGAACTGGCCGTTGATCCCCAAGACCACACCGTCGACGCCGTCCGACGACCAGCGCATGTACTCCACACCCCATTTAAAATGCCTTGTTTTGGCCGCAGCCAGAGCCGAGAGATCAAGTAATAAAATGCAGAAGAAACACCAACCTGCAAGAATGGTGCCCCTTGACATCATCGCCATGTTCGGATCTTCAAGGTTTCTTGGAGAATATTCAGTAATATTAGCTTATAGCTAGTAATAAATGGAGCAATATTTTGGATTGGAGCTCTGAATTCGATCGGGATGGAAAGTCGATGTGTAGCGAGTATATATATAGTAGAGTTCAGGTACAACTACGTCTTCTCGTGCGGTTAGTGCAGTCCCACCAAAGATTATGAAAATATGCCTCAACAATGTTAGGAAATGCAAAAAAAAAAAAAAAAAACACTTGAATAAAAGCACCACACAGTGTTCGGAAATCATCAAAGTTTAATTATTTACAAATATGATACCACATTTTCTAAACAATATTTCTGTTCTGTTAGATCTGGACACGCGGACAGCTGTGATTGGTTCTCAGTTTTCTCTTGGACACTTGGTTCTCACTCTCTCCCCCTCTCTCTCTTTCTCCAGTGGGGGTGAAGGTTTCCCGTGCGGTTGTGCGGGTGATTAATGTGCGCGAATTTTGTACTTAATGTGCGTGAGTGTGTAATACATAATGTGCGTGAGTTTTGTACTTAAGGTGCGTGAGTGTTGTGCCTAATGTGCGTGAGTTTTGTGCTTAATGTGCGTGAGTGTGTACTTAATGTGAGTTGTTGAACCTTTAAAGTGCATGAGTTTTGTGCTTAATGTGCGTGAGTTTTGTGCTTAAGGTGCGTGAATTTTGTACTTAATGTGCGTGAGTGTGTACTTAATGTGAGTTGTTAAAACTTAAGGTGCGTGTGTTTTTGTGCTTATGGTGCGTGAGTTTTGTGCTTAAGGTGTGTGAGGGTTGTGCTTAAGATGCGTGACTATTGTGCTTAAGGTGCGTGAGTTTGTGTTCTGAATGTATTTTGTTTGTGTGTTTACTGTGCGTGTGTTGGGTACTTAAAGTGCGCCAGTGTAATGCTTAATGTGCGTCGACCTGCACAACTACACGGGAAGTACCACTCATACCTGATCCCTTCCCTATATATATGTGTGTGTGAGAGAGAAGATGGATCTAATGTATGCATCTGATTATATATTTTTTATATGAATAATTCATAATTGTACTACTACTTATGCAATGATCATTTCTAACAAGAAAAGTACTGTAATTATATTATTGCTTTGCTTTCAAGAAAGGATTTTTTTTTTTTTTTTTTTTAATTCAATTGGCTCCTTAAAAAATTTCATTATTATTGTTGCACATATGCATGGACATATGTGTGATCTGTACTTGACCAGTTTGATTAATCAAATTAAGCTCAAATGCATATTGTGTCAATATATCTACCAAGGGCATCCATAATGTATGAGGTTTACCCGTCTAATATTTTATCTATTTACAATGCGTTTTTTTTCCTGTGAATTCATTGTACATGTGTATATCAGTATATGTAGGCCACACCATCATTTTATATAAATTTTCATTTAAATTTAATTAATGTTTTAATTAAATAATATTGTTATATTATAATTTAATTAAAATTATTCATATGATATATTTATAGAAACAATCAAATGAAATAAGAAAATATAAAACTTACCTAATGTCGGACAGATACTAAAAGTAGTTATTTTAGGGAAAAATGACATTTTTTTTTTCTCTTAAGTTATATGCTTAGAACATTATCCCCTCCCCCCCTCCCAAATTCATATATTACATTTGCCTTCTAAGTCATGTTAAAAGTGTGGCGATTTTTTACCTTTTACGTTAGATGGACATTTTTACCCTTAAAAATAAGATGGAATTGAAATAGGCCGAGCCGAATAAAATTAGGCCTGATCCTGTTACGAAAATCTAAAGCTTAGGTCTAGGCCTGAGCCTGTACGTAGGCTTTTTGTTAGGCTCAGACCTGAGCCTACAATTGGCCTGACCTGGCCTGAAGTCTTTTAAAACAATCATTATTGTGTGGACCATGGTCCACACAAGCTGTGTGGACTATGTTTTGTATACTGTAGAATAATGTACATTCAGTACAAAAATAATGTACTTTTAGTATATTAAAAATGTACATTGTATTCAGGGAATGTACATTATTTGTGTATTGAGTATACATTATATTATATAATGTACATTCAGTACACAAATAAATGTACATTTAGTATACTAAAAATGTACTTTTTGTTATGGTCCACACAATAATTTGCCCTTTTTAAAAGCCTGTTTAATATTTATGCCATTAAAAAGTAAGTCATACTTTGAGCATATTTAAAGCCTACATATTAAGACTTTTTAAAAACTTTAATAAGTATATCTAAATACTTAAAAAAAAATAAGTATATCTAGATAATTCAAGAAATATACCTAATACAAAATTAATACATAATTACATAAATATATCACCACAATGCAAACCTAATAGCATTAAAATATAAAATAAAATAAAATGAGTCACGACTTCAGTATGCTCGTTAACTTATTTAGAAATAAATTCAATTGTATTATTGTTTGTAATCCTATATAATCTCATAAATAATTAACAATCAACTCACATAATAAAGTTGTGACATTTTATTAAATATTATGACAATAAAAAAAATAAACAATAAGAACACTCAGGATTAGCAACAATATTTATAGTTAAATCATAATTTAGAATGAGATTTTAGAGGTGAAGGGTTAGAGTTTGGTAATTATGTATACTTGGTCTTATATTGTAAATATAAAAATATGTTAAGTATAAAATAGAATATATATATATATATATATATATATATATATATATATATATATATATATATATATATATATATATATATATATATATATATATAGAGAGAGAGAGAGAGAGAGAGAGAGAGAGATAATTTCACCCGAGGTTCTTTGTCTTTCGTGGCAATTTCAAATTTAGTCTCAGACTATTATTTTTGTCATTTAACATCTCAGACTATTAGATTTTTGGACACTTGTAATCATTCTCATGTCTTTTTTTATTTTTAGCAAGGACATTTTTGTCTATTCATATTTTTCTTTTGTTATTTTTCTTGTTTCAACCGGTTTAATTGGTTTAGAACTTTACTAAAAACCAGTTGAAAACTATGGTTACTAAAAAACAAAGGTTACTTAAAGTTCTAAACCAATTATATACGCCTGGCCTGTATGCATGGAGGTCGAGCCTGGTGTATATAGGCATGATTTGTTTATTTTAATAGGCTTTGAAATTAGCAGCCCAAGCTTGACCTTTTTATTAAACGAGCTAGGCCTAACTAGGCCATGACATAGGTAGAGGCCTGGCATATTCCCACCCTATCGTTATACCCTGCACCACGACACACAGAGCACTGTGTGCCCCGCGCCTCCCAAAACGACGTTATTTTGGGAGGCGCGGAAGGGAGTTGACATGATTATGTGTATTTTTTTATACAGTTATGTGAAACGACGTCGTTTTGCATCAGGGCGCACAATGCAATGCGCGCCCTGGTGCAGATATAAATTGCCATTCCCACCCTTACTTAAAAATAAGTATTTCATTTATTTTTCTTCTCCAACAAATTATTGATTATATGTATGGATGACCACGGTTCAGTTCGAACCTAACCGTAAACTGTACCAACCGAACCGAAACAGTAGGAACAATATTGGTTAAAATTTAGAATCGAAAAAAAAAATTTGTTGAATTTAAACTATTTTAAAAATAAGAAATAGAATTTACAAAAATAAATAAATAAATTTTGAACTGGTGGTTCAAACCGAAACTAGAACCTTCCTAAAATGTTCCCGTTCCGATTTATCATTTTAAAGAACTGTGAACTAGAACTGAACTAGCTGTTCAAACCAAAACTGAAACCTTCCTTAAAGGTTCTCGGTAAAATTTATCATTTTCCAAAACTGTGAACCGGAACCGAACTGTAGTCATATGCACTTGTATGTGGAATTAGAATAAATGTGAAAATGATCAAACACTATTGTTAAATGATAAATCGGTTCAATTTGGTTCCAGTTTTGATTTTGCACCGTCGATTCAAAATTTATTTATTTTTTTTTTAAATTTTATTTCTTATTTTAAAAATAGTCTAAATTCAACAACTATTTTATTTGATTTTATTTCGGTTCTAAATCATCATAACCAAATCCATCCCTACTATTTTGGTTCGATTGTTCCAGTGTCCAATAAGGTTCGAATCAAACCGTACTCATCCCTTCATATAAACAATAATTTGTTGGGAAAAAATAAATAAAATATTTATTTTTAATGATAAAAATGTCCATTTAACAATAAAGGGGGGATTCTCAAGTTTTGTGTAATGATATTTTGGTTATATGATATTTTGTGGGGTTTCTAAAAAAAAATAAATAAAATAAAAACAAATAAAAAACAAAAAACAAAAAAAAAACAAAAAAAAAAAAAAACAAAAAAATAAAGGGGAAAAAATCGCCACTTTTAACATAACTGAGGGGATAAATAGGAATACAAGAATAACTCAAGAGAAAAAAGTGCTCTAAACCTATAACGCAACGAGAAAAAGTGTCGTTTTATCCATTTTTTAATATGCACACAAAAGATGAAGTGGCACTCCCGCAATACATTGAAAATTCCTTTATACTTTGTGACATGAAATGCGTTGGGATCATATCAAGGATATGCATAATTATGAATTTAAAGTAAGTTGACGGATGCATTTTGAAATTTGAAATATTTATTAAAATGTTATCGTTTTTTTTTTTTTTTTTTCAAATTTTGTTATTAATCATTCTCAAATTGATGACGATCAGGATGAGTTCACAGTTTTTACTTAAATTTTCATTTGATCATATAGATATAGCACACTCATGTGAATCACTCTCTAATAAAGAACTAGGAGCGAATAAAAAACGGAATCTGAAAAGATTTAATAGATTTGAAAAAATTTGGTAACTTTTTTATAAATAATTCAATATATGTTTAAAGTGCAACTAATAGCACTATAAAGTGTAACTTTTAACGACTAAACGGTATAGAGTGCAATTTAAGTAAAGCTAATGAGTGCATCTGTTGAAAAATTTTGTGTCATGTTTTTTGTTTCTTAACTCAAATTTTAAAGTACAACTAGTAACACTATAAAGTGCAACTATCAACACTATAGAGTAGCAACTAAGCAAAGCTAGAGAGTGCACATGTTCAATGCACTTATACATATGATGTGTGCATTCTCTAGTGTTGTTAATTCCACTATCAAAACTGAATTATTTATGAAAATGTCATTGAATTTTTCTTTCTCCTTACTTTAAAGCTGTTAAATCTTTCAATCGAGTGGTTCCTAGTTATGTCATTCGACAATGTTTTCATTTGATCTAAATTTTATGTGTGTGTTGGTGTTAATTGTTAAAAAATTAGTTTCTAAAATAATTTGAAAATTATAATTAGATATTTTACTTGCTATAAAATTAATTAAGGGTTTGTTTAGAAACCCGAAAAATGATTTCTGGAAATCATTTTTCGGATTTCTGGTGTTTG